AATTTCTATTATAACCAAATCTAGCCAATATATTATCATTTTAATATCTAATCAAGTTTTAAAATTATTAATGAGATATTTTATATTTGTGTGCTACATCTTTGAAAGCCAGTGCATATTTTAAGCTTCGAGTATATCTCAATTCAGATACTAAATTTTCATCAAAATATACTTTATCATTATTTAGATTTCATAAAACTGACAAGTGAAAGAGTAGTTTCACTTCTCAAGTTGTTTCAAAGATACTTACAAGTTTGCCAATAAATGAATAGAGTTACCAACAATACATTTTCATATAATATTCACATTGACAAAACTGGTTCATCTTTTTCAGATGATAATTTTACTTTGAAGCAAAAATATATCAGTTTTAAAACTGCACCTGTTTAAATTTAGTAAATTCAGTAACTCTTGGATCAACTCATTAATATTAACATTGAATTCAAAAGAGTACTGCATATATTGAAAAGCAACCCTAAATTATCAATATTAACAAAGTATTCTTCAAATCTGGTGTGTAATTTTTGCAGCTATTTTAAATAACATTCCCAATTACAAATAAAATCTGCATATTGGTTCACACTGGAAAATGTGTAAAATCATTATCATTGATTTGTGTTAGAAAAAGATTCAATTTCAACATAAAGACTCCACATAGAGATTCAATTTCAATGTAATATTTAACCTGTATAACTAAGTCAAAAATAAGCATTTTGTTTACTTGGAACTTCAAATTTAGCTTGCTCATACACACAGTATAATATCAGAGAAAATATTAATCAGTGCCAGATTTTTGTCTTTGGTTCCTGAATATTTGGCAAGCATTTTTTTTGTTTCAAGAAAACCTTGAATTGGAGCTAACAGTACACATCTTCCACAATTCAACCAATAAGCACTGGCAAAGAGCCCAAGATCATCAAGTTTATTGCCTTCTCTTCTTTTGGTAGCTTCATTAACTTGCTGATGACCCATAGCATTTGCATGTAGAAATTGAACAATTTCAAGAATTGTATCCAGGATACTTTTCCTAGAGACTGCTTCAGAAAACTTAGTACAAATGTTTTCAAATGTATCAGGCATTGGAAAGAAGTATTAGGGAAAATACAAACTTCTTGTTTTAAAATTCCAATATATCTGGATTTTTAAAATCTAACACAGCCGAAGGGAACATCATCTATCATGATAAAAACTAAGTTTTTCCTATTTAGCTGAAATTTACTCTTTGTCAGATGTAGAAGATTCAAAAATCCTTACCCAAATACTTATGAATTTTTAGGACACGAATTGGCAATATTTCTTCGTAAATTCAGAAATCCTTTGAATCTATTTGCTCAGTACTAATTAATAAATAGTTCATCTCTACCACCACTGATTTGAAATGCCTGCCATAGCAGATAATAAATCCATAGATTAATATGAATTTGTTTCTGTATCTTTTATTCTGTACCATTGGCTATTTATTTAATAGTGCCACCGAGTTTTAATTATAGACTTTATAATACATTTTACTATCTGGTAGAGTACTCTCCCCATTCTTGTACTTCTTAATCAGAGGCTTACTAAATATTCTTGTTTTTCCCCCCAATTTCAGATCAACTTGTCTACTTCTGAAAAACACGTATTATTTTTATTGGAATCACATTAACTTTGTAAATTAATTTAGTATAAATTATATCATTTGGTTATTTAGTCCAAAAACATAGTATGTCTTTTCATTAGCATGGGTTTTCTTCTGTGTCATTCAGTGACATGTTAAAGTTTTCTTTGTATAAGACTTGCACATCTCTGGTTAAGTTTATTCCTAGATATTTTCTCTTTTTTAATTGCGATTGGAGAAGCAGTCTTTTCTGTAATTACATCTTCTAAGTAGTAGTTGTTTCAATGGTTTGGAAGAGTTTTTCAGTTGATTATTTTACATTTTCTAGATATACAATCACATCATCTGCAAATAATGATAGTTTTGCCTTCTTTATTATTTTATATGTCTAATCCATTGATGTTATCTTATTGGATTATTTCAAGTAAAATATTTTTGACTTAGAATGCTTCTCATGGCTGACTCTGCCCTCTTCCATACACATATATAGACACACACTCACGATTATATGTAGAGTCATATTAAGGAAATAGCCATCTAATGTCCAATTTTAGAAGTTTGTTTTGGTCAACATGAGTTAAAATTTTCAAAATTTAAAACTTTAAAAATCTACAGAGATCACATGCTCTTTCTTCTTAGATCAATTAATACACCAAATTAATCAAATTTCATAATGAAAAACATTTACATTCATGTAATAAACCCCACTTATTCTTGATATGTTATTAATGTTGTATATAGTTTGGTAGTATTTAGATATTCAGAAAATTGTTCTGTAGGGGTTTTGTGAATTTTTGTCAGATTTTGGTACCAGTGTTCTACTCATTTCATAAAATATTTCTATTTCTTTTTTTTCTTATGTACACGATTCATTTAAAGCAAGGTTTCTCAACAATGGCACTGTTGGCATTTTGAGCTGGATAATTCCTTGTTGTTGGAGGTGTCCTGTTCATTACAGGATATTTAGCAGAATACTGTCCTCTCTCCACTAGATGCCAGTAGCACCCCCAGTTGCGATACCTAAAAAATGTCTCTAGACACTGCAAAATGCACCCTGGGAGACAAAATCTCCCTGTTTGAGAACCACTGATCTAATGCTAAAGAAAAATACTTGCAATTTTTCAAATTCTATTTATTGATAAATTTTTATCAAGTGATCTTTTATATTGTTAGAAACATTTGGATTCTACAGCAATTGGTGGCTTAACTGAAGCTTTCACTTTTTGTAAAATATCTTTCCCACTCTTTTCCTTATAATTTTCTAACAAAAGACCCATAACTTTTACCATCTCTCTATCTTAAAATGGTTTCCTTTTTTATGCAATTATGCAAGCTCTTTCATAACTGGCCAGTTGCAAACCGATAAAAAATGGTTTTAGATACTTAATTCTCATTTCTGGTGACTAATTTCATCAATTCTTCATTGGCTGTTGAGAAGAAACTTCCTAGCAGATTGCCTATGTATTTACTGAAAATGTATCTCCTGTCCTTGAAATGTACATTCTGCCCACCATTCCCACAGTGGGAGCTATTTTCAAGGACGCAGGCTTGAGAGCCACCCAGAGCTACTGAATCGTGACAGCGAGTTTGTTTTCTCATCTGAAAACGGGTGCAGTAATAGCAGCTTCCCCACAGGACTGTGGTGAGGGTAAAATGAGATAATGTTTGGGGACATTGTTTGCATTATTTTGAAACTTTTCTTACATAACAGTTCTTTTTCCTCTATTGATGCAAATTGTAATTGCCATTCATCATGAAATTTGCAACAGACTTTCTCTTCCACTTTCTTTTCTCTTTACTATTTGCATTGCAGTACTAGTTTTTGCATCTGCACTAAACTTTGCACCAATAGATGCTTTCATTTTAATGCAAAAATTTATCTGCATTTTTCTTAAGCTAGAAAATTAATTGAACCATAACACAATAAGTATTTCAATCTGATTTCCAATTATAATTAGCATTGGTATCATTGTAACATAAGCTGCCTACATAAAATACCCAGCTAAACACATTGCAACAATATATCAGTGCAAAGAAAAAATAATCCAAACCGAATCAATCCATTGATACCAATTAAATCATTAATGTGTTTATGTGTAATACTAGAAATGACACATGCATCCAACATGCATACCACAATAACAATACTTTCTTACACAATGCATTGGGTAAAGTGCAACGTAGTCTGACTGAAGTAATGAACTTGTGTTTAACAGAAAATATTTTATGCTGGTTCAGTCTTAAAATTTGCATTACTTAAAATTAAAAACTCAGGTCCTCAGTTGCCCTAGCCACATTTCAAGTGCTCCATTGTCACATGTGGCTGGTAGCCAGCATATTGGACAAGTTGGCCCTAGCAGGTCCAATCAAAATCTCCAAAGACTCTAATAATGTTGCAAATATTGAGTTTGGCTTTAGTAATTCATAGGAAATTTGGGAAGTTTTCCTTTTTATCACAAAGTCTACATCTTGAGAGAAAAGAAAAAACACTTGCCTGGCTCAGGCACCTGGCAAGAGTAAAGTCCCCAATAGGACAATCGGATCTGAGGACAGAGCTTAAGATGAACTAAAAAATGTTTCTTAAATTCCAACTTCCCCTAGAAGAGATACTCCTGTTTGAGAAACATTTTATTAAAAGTTAACTGTTAACTCATTAAACGATTACTTGGTATCAAAGTAACCACAAAAAGAAGCGCAAATGTGAATATTCACATTTAGGAAATCTTATGCAATACCCAGTTTTAAGATTGTCATTCATTTGACCATTAAAATGAAAACCCAACATTTAAATAACATTCTGAAAGAAAATTCACGGACCTTCAAAAATATACTGGAAAAACAAAACCTAGAAGTTATATTGCTGCGAGATAAATCATCTCAGGTACCCCAAAATGAGAAAATAACTTGCATTTGATAATGATGCAATTCTCTACTCTGAGATGCAGTATGGTGTAGAGAAAAGAGCCTTGGAGCTAGTCGTACCAGGATTCACTTCTCAAATCCAGTGTTTCCAATTGAGTGACTTTGGGCAAGTCACTTCGTCTCTCTGAGTTTCAGATTCCCTAAACTGCAAAAGCATAATGAAACCTGCCTCACAGTGTCACTGGGAAGGTTAATTTAGACGACTTGGTTAAAAGCCCCAGTCCAGTTCCTAGCATATACTGAACACATATCAGTTGCCTTCATCCTTTCCAGGATCCTTTCAGAGAAAATCCATCTGAATTCATTCTAGCTGCCAAGCATGGTTTTTATTCATGCTCTCTGTTCTCAGGCGGATTATTAAATAAACGCCAGACTCCTACTAATCATTCATTTTCATTTCATGCTGTTACACAGATAAATAACTCATCCCAGCACACATTAACTCATGTATAAAAATGATGTACAAAATGTCCAGCCATACTTGTCTGATGGGTGGGATTCCACGAAATATCCAGCAAAGGGGCAATAAATTCGCGGTTGTAGGTCCTTCACCAGCCGAGCCTTGTAGTTCAGAAGCTTCCTCCTTTCTGTTTTAATGAATTGGGCTTTCCACTCCTCTGGAATGACAGGGTTTGGATTAGAGTCTCCTCTGGTCAGAAATCACAGAAAAACAAAGGTTCTAATAGCTTGGAACTCTTTCAGGAGATAAAATTGATAGACGACTAACCCAGAAATAGAGCAAAGCCCTGTGCCGTTAGTGGAAGGTTTTGCCCCCAGCTTTATTTTGCAAATTTCATTTGGTTACTGGAAAAATGTTACCAAACCAGCCAAAGACAATGAACCCTCTCCTTGTTTGTGTCAATTCATTCAGACCCTAGCTGAATACACAGGGCAGCATGCATAGTTGTACCTTGCGTGCCTGCACATTTTAAGGGCACTATAACTATTAACTCTTTATTAACATGGAAATGGCTTTGTTATTTCAGTGGATTATGAAAGGAAAGCATGTTCATCACACCCTGGCAATGCACAGTGGTCAAGACCACGAGCAGTGGAGTCAATTAAGACTTAGGATCAAAATGCAGCTCCACCACTTACGATCTTTGAGTCTGTTTCCTCCTCTGTAAAGTGGAATCATGACGCCCACCTCACAGGCTGTTCATTTGCTCATTCATTCATTTGATCCATATTTATTAAGCCCCTACTCTGTGCCAGACATAGTTCTAGGCACTGAGAATACAGTGGAGAACATGATAAAGCAGGAATCTGCTCTCCTGGAACGTTCATTGGAGAGAAAGAAGCAAATAATGAACAAGTAAACAAAGGTCATTTCAGAGTGATGAGCTAGGAAGAAAGTAAAACAGGGCCATGCAACAGAGAGTGGCTGGGATGAGGTGAGGTGGGATGGAGGGGTGTTATCACACAGCCTGGTTAGTGAAGATGACATTTGAGTCATAGACACAAACGTAGACACAGATGAAGAGAAATTGCTGACCACATAGAGATCAGGGGCAGTAGCACTCCAGGCAGTGGAAACAGAAAACACAAAACCCAGGACAGGGACGCACTTGGTGTTTTGGGTCTGAGGAACAAAAAGCAGGCCAGTGTGGGCTAATATATAGCAAGTAATGGGGAGACAGGCAGTCAAGGAGGTTAGAGGAATTAGACAGGGCCCAGAGCATGAGGGCACCATGTCAGGGAGCTATTCCTACTATTATTGCTATGGAAATTTGATAAGCACAGACAAGGATACAGAAAAAAATTAAAGTTATCTATAACCTAGACATAAACCACTATTAACATTTTGGTATGTTCTAGGACTTTTAAAACGTGTGTGCATGCACTCCCACATGCATACACACACTCACAGAAGAATGGGAATCACGCTAGCTACTCTTTAATAGGTATATTTTGCCTCCCCAAGAACACTGTTAACTCCTTAAAGACAGCACCTTTCCTCTCTCTCTCATGTGGTTCCACACTCTGGGAGGCAATGAATCTAGACTGCAGAGGAATGGAAGGCAAGAGAGAGGCTTTTTTCATCCTGCAATTAGGCCATTTTCTGCCACATTGTTAGAGACTGTTCGTCAAACATATTAATTTATTTAGTGGCCCTATACTGAGCACTTACAATGCTAATATTGAGGATACTAAAATGAACAAAATATACCACTTACACACTTTCTTCCAAGCCAAACCCAGCACCACCCTAAGACCCAGATCAGAAGAGATCCTGCCTTAGACGCCACGCTTTTTACTAGCTTTGAGATATAATCGACTTACAATATTGCATAAGTTTAAGGAATACAATGTGATGATTTGATACACATATATATTGGTAAATGATTACCACAATAAAGTTAGCTAACACTTCCGTCACCTCACCTAATTACCTTTATTTTTTATGGTGAGAACATTTAAGATCTACTTTCTGAGCAGCTTTCAAGTACATAATATAGTATTGTGAACTCTAGTCATCCTAACGTATGTTGGGTCCCCAGAACTTATTTATCCAATAACTAGAAATTTGTACTCTTTGACCAACAACTCCCCATTTCCCCTGGTAACTCCACACTTTAGAGGGGCTTGCTCTGGTTGTGTCCTTCCCCTGTATAGGCATTCCATGGGGCCAGGGGGATGTGCCTATATCAAGTTGCACATACCCTATTCTGAACTACATTCCAAGAGCATTTAAGCCTGAATTACCGATGTGAGACCTTTCCTGTTCTGCTCTATGGTCTATACCATGGATCCAAATGATTCTTTTTCTTGACTATTCCTGAGATGCTCCTTAATCTCCTTAGTGTTTCTTTCATGCTCCATGATCGTATTTTGAGCTGGAAACACTAGTCTGTATATCTGCAGCTTGCAAGCCTGGTTTCCCAATAAGCTTCCTCTAGGGAGGGACCACGTCTTAATGATCTTTGTATTTATTCTCACAGCATTAGCAAAGTGCCATGCCTCTCCTTAGTAGCACCCTGATAGAAAAGATTACCTGTAAATTTTCCACCACTGAAAGTCATCGGAAAGCCTGATGCTCCTCCAGCAAAATCACTCATCATGAGAGCAACCTTCCCAGGCAGCCTTCCCCCATTGGGTCTGGTGCAGTCCACTGTATTGAGTATCTTATGACCTGTGGAAAAACAACGTGGCATGAGTACTCAAAGTGAAATCTTGAACACCGTAGTTTGTATTCCCAAGCCAACAAAGTCTTCCATGGATGTCTGTATAATCTGACTCATTTGATTATAAAAGAATTGCTTATGTCCAAGGGAAAAGAGAGAGAAAGATTTCAAAACCTAAAATCTTTAAAGGCATATTTTGAATTTTCAAGTGAATGAATTCATCCTGTTTGATTCGGTGGGTTCAAGATGTCCCATGAGGACAATTAGCTTGATTCCACTCCAGGATCATAGACAGACTACTTTCCTCGGCCAACTCTCTCCAGATGCTGAGCCCAAAGGATGCAGGGAAAAGACTGACTGGATCAAGACAAATCTCTCAACCTTTTGCAAATTCCATTCAACGATTATTGGGGCAGTAAAGCCACCTTCTCAAATGAAAGGAAGAAGTTTATGATTATATTACAAAATAATATTTCAAGATGAAAGTAAGACACTTATTCAACAAAGTCAGTTTTGAAGAAACTGCTATTGGTGAAATACAGAATATCTGTTGCCTTATGAAAAAGAAACTTTGAACCTGTCACTACATAAACTATCTTACTGGTAATTTGTTCTCTGGAAAGATTATCTGAACGATAGCCTATTTTTTGAAGACAAGGATAGAATATACTATATCCTAAGGAAAAGAAGATGAATGTAGGATGAAATTTTGGATAGCTATTATTATCCTTCCTACCAAGAGTATTTTTATTTTTCATTGTTGATGAAGATAAGAAAGTACCTTTGTACTCCACAATAATGCAAGTGTCCATCTCAGGATGAACGCCATCCATCAAGATCATGAATCGAAGATTTTTGTCTACCTGGAATTTAACAATAAAACCAAAATCTATGTATGTCAGTTTGGCTTTTAATTCAATATTTGAGGAAGTTGCCACTTCTTCTGGAAAGAAATCCCTTTTATTCAGAACTGGACTTATTATCCTATACTATGGAGTTATATCATTGGTAAATAGAAAGCAAAATCATCTTTTAGTATAGCTTAAACATTGTATTTACACAGTATTATGTACAGACAAAATAGGCCAGTGTTTCTTCTTTTTTTTTAGGAATATTAGCCCTGAGCTAACATCTGCTGCGAATCCTCCTCTTTTTGCTAAGTAAGACTGGCCCTGAGCTAACATCCATGCCCATCTTCCTCTACTTTATACGTGGGATGCCTACCACAGCATGGCTTTTTGTCAGAGGTGCCATGTCTGCTCCCGGGATCCGAACCAGCGAATCCCGGGCCACCAAAGTGGAATGTGTGCACTGAACCACTGCGCCACTGGGCCAGTTCCAAGGCCAGTTTTCTTAAAGCAATTACTATCTAATCTTAAAGCAAGTACCTCATCTAAAATTTCCCCTGAAAGTATAACTGGAAAGCGCAAAAAAACATAGATATCTGACCTGCTGCCATATTCCAAATGGCACTACTTTGATATTAGTCAACTGGACACCGCTCTGATTCAGATTCCAAAATACAGGTCTTTCTGTGTTTCCAACATAAATGGGAATATCTGGTCTTCTCCCAGCAAGCTTCTTCAGAGTGGGGTAACTAGGATTAGAAGGACGAACAGGTTGAAAGGTGAAAAAATAAGACCATCTAGTATAAGAGACAATTTGCTCCTTACACAAAGATGTTGATCAAGAAGCAAGGAACTGAAAAACCAGACTCTCCCCAGAGTCCACAAGAGGAGCTTTTGCCTCAAGGCTGACTGTAAAGGGGAGGGGAATTTCCTAGAAGATTGCTCCTTATTGTTAGAACATATCACATATGATGGTATGTGTGTCAACCAGGTGTGCAAATTCCATCTTCCACATTGATGCTGCTTTGAGTGGGGGTAATTCTAACAGAAGGTACAGAGTGAAAAAGTCATGCTGAAGAAGCTTCTTGTAGGTGAAGATCTCCATGACCTTCACTTTTTTTCATTCTTCAAGCAGCACCTTCTAGTAAGAGAAAGGCCTGGATCGTAGGACGAGGAGAACCTGTGGGTTACCCACCACTGAGGACAGTTTTGCACCTTTCATAGGTTGACAGGCACACTTCAGTATACAGGATGAATTCTTTGTCTTTAAGGAGAATCAGTTACCAGTTAGGCAAGACGGTAGAGTTTAGTGTAGACACAAACTACATTCAACATTTGCAGTAATCCTGACTCAGTACACAGTTAACTGCCTGTGTGTTTTTGCATATCTACATAGATCAAGCCAACTTTCATCTATTGAGCATTCATTATACAAAAGGATTATATACCACTGTGAGGTGAGGCAGAAAGATGAATAATAAACAAATAAACAGCTAGATATAAATGTTTACATTATATTTCAAACATGGTGCTAGGCACTTTCACACGTTATTTTATTTGATTCTCAGAAAAAAAAACCTCTGAGTTTTTTGCTTTTATAAAGGAGGAAATGCATTCGGATATATACAGCTAACAAATAGTAAATTGGCATTCAAATTCAGGTTTTCTGATTCTAAACCTAGTGCTTCCTCTGTCTCAACATTAAAGAATGTACCAACTGGTTTAAGAATCAGACTTGTACATAGAGTAAATGTCAGGTGAGATAAGATATTTAATCATAAGAAAAATATAAACAAAATCTGTATATCAGCACTTACTAAATGTGCTAATATTCAAGTTCCAGCATTACATTAAAAGCTATCCAAATAAGTAGAACACAGGGGCAAAAAATCAGCATTTCTTCTCTAAAAACAAAGGACTCAAAAAATGGCGTCTTTGAATATGCCTTCAATCTCTGGATTCAGCACCTAAATTTTCTATTTTAAAGGACTTTGAGAGTTAGGATAAATGACTCTAAAATAGATGTTTATGGCTTCGTGATTTTTTAATTGTTGACAGTTCTCACTGGCATCTATTAATAACATCATCTGTTACAATACTCACTATATTGACATAATGAAATCACTTTTTTTTGGCTAAAGATTTTCTCTAAAGCACATTGACCTTTTCCTTATTTTTGTGAATCAAGGAGGTTTTTATTCAGTAAATGAAGGTCAGACAAGAGGAATGGGGACAAATGACCCTGACGTTTATAGGTTGACTAGGCAAGAGTCAAAAAGTAAGGGTTTATCAAGGAAATAGACTCAAAGGAGTGAAAATTACAAGCTTTGGTAACTTTTCAGTAATAAGCTATTGGTAATACACTACTCATCCAATGCGTTGTGATATTATGGTTGAGAACTGGTGTTTCCATGCCTGACCACTTTGCCCACCCCTGCAACCAAAACTAAATTAGCTCCAGGATAATGGTTGGGAAATAACTGGACTAAATGACATGAAAAGATCTTATCCTGCCTAAAATTCAGTGTATTTCCATGGGATGTTTCTCTTCAGGATTTTAGTCAATTGCACCTTGTAACAGGCATTATAAAGCAATCACCTCATTTATGTGAATAAGCTATATAAATTTACCACCACACATTACTGTTATTACATAATGCCTGAACCCAGGGCTGTCATAACCCTGGAGTTGTAGAAGTTTAGTTCCAGAAATTTGTGTGGGACAAAGGTATCATGCAATCAGACAAGTAGTTTTTTGTTTTTTGTTTTTTGAGAAAGATTAGCCCTGAGCTAACATCTGCTGCCAAACCTCCTCTTTTTGCTGAGGAAGACTGACCCTGAGCTAACGGCCATGCCCATCTTCCTCTACTTTACATGTGGGACGCCTGCCACAGCATGGCTTGACCAGCGGTGCATAAGTCTGCACCTGGGATCTGAACTGGTGAACACCAGGCTACTGAAGTGGAACGTGCAGACTTAACTGCTGCGTGACCAGGCCAGCCCCTAGACAGGTAGATTTTTCATCACAGCACCACAATACCCCAGTGATTTGTGGTCAGTTTAGAAGTGTGTTACAAGTAATTTGCTACTAAAGCAGTTTATCACTTAAGTTTTTAAACTGTTTCCTTTAAAAAGATGTATGAGAACATACTCACCCTTAGACCCCATATGCTTTAAAATAGAGAATCAAGAGGCCAGACAACCAGCAGATAACGTATTTCCCCTAACCATGGAACATTTCTATCAAAGTATGTCCTACATGTGAACTCTGTCATGTAAGGTCACAGGGAAAAAAGTTGGTTGAACTTGCCTCTTTTTAGAACATTGTGGGCATTGCTATGTGTTTATGTTGGCAGCCCAGCAGTAGTGATACAAACTTCTGAACAAGGATAAACAAACATGACCCTGTAACTAAACCGGGGATTGGGAACATGACCCTCCCTCTTCCCTTAACTGTTCATTCGCAAATGTGTGTGGTTTTGTGGTGAAAGTTCCGCTGTCTCCTGCCTTCTTGACTGCCTGGCTTAGGGACGACTCAGTTCCCATCATCAGTTTCACATTGCCCTGGCTTCAGTGAAGTGTTGGATGAGCTTGACTCAGGGTTAACAAGTTGGGAGCGCAGCATTGTCGGGGTGCTATAAATCAGGAGATGGCAAACCCCAGTGACCTGTTGCTGCAAGCCAAGAATAGTTTGTACCTTTTAAAATGGTTGAAGAGGAAATCAAACCGATGAAAATTACACGATATTCACGTCATTGTCCATAAATAAGGTTTTGTTGGAACACAGGCTCAGTCAGGACTGTCTGTGGCTGCTTTTGTGCTGCAACAGCGGAGTAGTTGCAACTTCAACCCCATGGCTTATAAAGCCTAAAATATTTACACTCTGGCCTTTTTATACAAAATGCGTGCTGATGCCTGCTATAAACGTTGAACTGAAAAAGGAAGTCAACTTTGATGATCCTTAAACCTAGACTTTACCAAGCGGCCTGAGAGTGGGAAGTGAGACGGTAGGATTATTAACCCTGTCCTCCACCCCACAATAGCCCCTTCCTCATTCCCAATGGTGTAAAGTGTGGAAGCACTTTTAAAATTACGCTATGCAATTGCAAGCATTTGTCTAAATCAGTCCTCTAAAGATCTAAAATAGTCCTCTTTTTATCATTCCAACAAACCCTACCTCAAAGTCAGCAATGATTGCAAAACAACCTGAAAACATGTTATATCTTTACTGCAGGATTTTCTTATGAGTTTAGCGCTTAGACGTCATTACCTCAAGTGGTCTGAGTGCATGTGACTGATGTAAATTAGGTCTGCCCGGCACAGCCTCTCCAGCCAATCAGAGGGAGGCTCATGTAGCAACCACCAGCCTCGGGCAAAAGCAGGACCAGTTAACCAAGGGTCAAACACCATTCTCTTGTCTCCCAGCTTGAGGTCCATGCAGGCATGAGTGAGGTATGTTACCTGTCAGAAAAAAGCCAGATTCAGATTATCAAATCATTCCTGGCCAGCAGCAATGAACTGAAATGTTTGGGCTGCTTAGCCGACAGGTCACGTTGGAGAACCTTGCTCCCAAGCACGCTCAGGCAAATAGGACCCAAGTGAGACACAGCAGGAGTCTTTAGAGAGAATACAACTCCCAGAACAGGTCACTACTTTATTAGAACAGAAATTCTCAGGGTTGGTTTTAGGTGTCAAGCCAATTGATTTACCTTGATTTCCTCTATTTATATTAGCTCCTAGATACTTACATACAGTTTGCACTGCAGAAAATCTTTTGTGACCAGTCCTTCAAAGCATAATTTACAAGGAAGGGCAGTTAGAGATATTATGACAGACACTGGAGGATTTAAATGCCAGAGTGTCTGTGAATAGTCTATGAACGAATGATTCCTGTTGAGTTTGGTGGGTTGGCATAGCCATGCAGCCTGGCTACACAGACTTGCAAGGCTTTCTCTTCTAAATTACCTGCTAACTCTCTGAGGATGTCAAGGTTCTCTGAGAATGGCTATAAACAATGACTCAGAGACAGGCACAGACGGGAGGACTGCAAATCAATTCCTCACTCCCTTTCCATGGCCTGGCACATCCACAGGAAAAAGGAGTCCACCAAGAAGCAGAAAGAGGTAACAGAAACTCCAATGTGAAAAGCCAACAAAGAGAGTGAGGAGAGGCTGAGGAATCCAATTCCATTTTATTAGACTTATTCTGGATAGTATAATAAGTTGTTTCCCCAAATAGTAACTGCCCGTTTTTACAAGCTTCCCAAATATTCCAGAAAAATAAATTTTTGATTGCTTGCCCCTCCCAAACTACCAAAGTGTTTGTTCTGGAGGAAACTCTCTTCTAAAGCTAGTAAAAATGCACAAGAAGTTTTGTAAAAGATTTTAGGGCAATGTGCAGAAATACGCAACCGGCCATTTTATCTGACCATGATCTGGTGTCAAGGATAAAGTCTGAGTTTCCTCCAGGAGTTTCGCTGACTCTCCTTTGGGATCTCCTTTAAAGGTTTTGTTTCTGGTTTGTGGTTTTCTTTCTGGATATATTTCCTTGAAATCCCTGCCAAGTTCTAGGGCTTCCTAAAACATTCACTCAACAGTTCAGAATAATTTTATTTTATGTGCTAACTCACCACTTCAAAGAGTATTCAAGGTAATATAGGATGTAAATATATATATAAATGGACATCTTAGTTTTATTTATAGTTTTAATAATATTCCAATTTTAATGTTCCCTTACCTGTACCTCCCCATAGGCCAAATCTTCAGGAGACCTGGGCTCTGAATCCCAGGGGTTAGGAGGATTCAGTTCTAGAAGCAGTAGTCCATTTCCTTCATCCATTTCAACAACTAGAACCAAAGGGGAACAAATCTGGATTAACAACAAAAGTGACTTTGAAAAAGCATCAGTAAAATAGAAATGCATGGCTCAGGTACACAGAGTACTAAAAATCAAAGGAAAATCAAAACAAAAGGCAAAGCTCATTTGTGTCAAGCAATATCTGCTGAGACGAGAGCTTGAGACCAACATCAATTCATTTCTTTACCCATATTACACTTAAGGAACTCACGAGATCTCAGTTGTGTCAGGGACACAGACACACACAGTGTCGTTAATACAATGAAATCAGTGATTGACAGAGATGAGTTCAAGGTGCTATGGGAGTGTATAGGAAGGGGCACCTAATCTGGCTACTTATAGATCAAAGCAGATTTCATATAGGAAGTAATCCTCCAGCTAGACTTGAAAGATGAAGTGTTTGGGGCAGACAAAAGAGTATGCTGATGTGAAGCAAAAGGGATGAGAGAACAGCATGTGCAAAGACACTGGGGCATGGGGGAGCTTGATATTCACAAAGTGACTGGTAATTTATGATAAAGAAAAACTGTGCTTGAGCCAGACAGCATAGACAGCCCAGAGTAGGTCACAAAGGACCCTAAATACACGCTAAAGAGGAGTTTGTATTTTATCTTGTGACAATGAGGGGTCAAGGAAGAGTTTCAAGCAATTGTGACAGACTCTGCTGGTGGCCTGCACAAAATCTATCTATTCTTTCCTTTCTCCTTACTATTAGCATCCTAATTTTTTTTTAGGAGTGGTGATATGCCCATCTAAAGATCACAATTTCCCAGGCCCCCTTGCAATTATGAGTGGCCACAGACATAGCTCTACGTTCAGTATATATAGTTCTGGTCAGTGAGGTGTGACGAGAAGTCTACCAACGGGACTTCCAGGAACAGTTGTATTTTCCTGACAAAGAGGGACAAGCCCAAGGGACCCACATTGTTTTCCCTTTATCTTTCCTCTCTTTTATTTGGAACCTAGTTGTCATGCCTGGAGGAGTAGGAGCCATCTTGAGATCCTGAGAAAAAGAGCCAGATGCTAAGGATGACAGAGCAGGAAGACAAAAGGAACTTGGCTCCTTGAAAAACCACGGAACACCCATAATGCCCAGGGCTGCCTGCTTTCCAACTTCTTGTGCTGTAAGAAAAAGAACCCCCTATATGATCGGGCCACTTTTATCTGTGTTTTCTGTTATAACAGCCGAAAACAATACCTAACTGCTATAACAAGGGAGTATTCCAAGCAGAACTTAATTTTAGAAAGATGCTGTGAGACACACAGGAAGGATCAATTGGAGGGAGGCAGGGTCATATCTGAGAGCTCTGACTGTAGTTTTGGGAGGCCATCAGCAAACTTGTCCTGGTCATGGGCTCAGGAGATGGATCGCCTTGTTTGGAACTCTCACTCTCCCACTTAACACTGAATAGCTGGGTGATCTTGGGTGAGTTACTTGATTTCTCCTTTCTTCTGTGCTTTTATCTTTAACACTAGATATCTCCAAGGACCGTTAATCCTAATAAATGCCAGCAATTTTATTAATTGCTAAATGAAAGCAAATGAGATCCTAGACCAAAGCAGTCTCTGTGGAAACAGCATCACCGCCCTGACCTCAAAGCCAAGCTTTTTCCTCCTTTCTTCAAAGTATATAAAAAAAAGTTTGACCTGCACTTTTAAAGTGAATATTAATTATGCTCTGTAAGACAACTGCTTATGGAAGAAACTGAGGTAAAAATTACCCATAAAACAAGAAATGGTACATTTTAGAATTTTCCCCAGTAGTTGTGAACAAAGATTTATATACGCTGTCAAACTTCGATTTTCAAGGTCATAGTGACAGACTATAATAAATAAAAAGTTGAAAACTTAAAGAATTACCTCCCCCAAAGTCCGTTTTTCTTTCTCACTTCCCTAGCCTCACCCTCATGTGTCTGTACTTATGTTCTCCTTCTCTGCCCCTGACAAACTGATGACTCGTTGATGTCCCTGGAAAGCTCTCCCTGGTATCAGCACTACTGGCTCCCTGGCATCACTGGGGACTCAGATGTCACCTTATCAGAGAGGCTTTCTGACCACTCTATCTAAAATATTAGTCTCCAGCCCACAACAGTGCTACCCCTCTCCAGCCCTCCACCCCTTGTTATTTTTCTTCCTTGCCCTTATCATCACTGGGCATATGCCATATTGTTTGCTTGTGGTCTGTCTCCCCTACAAGATATAAGCTCCAGAAGGGGCTGCACAGCCCCCTCTCTCAACCTAGGCACTGCTCCTGCCAAGACTTGGCACTTTAAGTTGGGAAACTGAAATATAGGATTATCTCAACATAAGCTAAAAATAACATTTCTTCTTAGTTTTTAAAAGAGCACTTTAAAAACTAGAAACATGATTGTAGCAGATAGTGTCCATTGGACCCGACAGACCCACTCTTTTCTCCCTTTCTCCACTCTTGTCCACCTGCTGCCTTCTTCAGGAGGTGGAGTCATATAGACTACAACAAAGGGCTCCCATACCTTCCGCCTTCTAGGTGAGTTTGGCTAGTAGGCAGCTCCGGGGCAAGATGACACGATAATTCCATGAGGTTGGGTTGTTTGTTGTCTGGCTCTTTCCCTGTAAGGTCACTTTAACCTAGCCGTGTTCTGGGCACTGACAGAAGTCACAGCTCCACTCAGGGAGGCTGGTTCTTCATGACTCTCTTTTAGATTATGGAAACTGCTTCCCTCTTCATCCCTTTGGGCCTAAAGATGGATAACTTGGTTGCTATTAACTCCAGGTTACTCCATCTGCCCCTGTGTTTTTCCCACATCCACACCCTATAAAAAGTCCTTTTGTGGGGCCAGCCCCATGGCCAAGTCGCTAAAGTTCTATGCGCTCTGCTTCAGCAGCCCAGGTTTTGTAGGTTTGGATCTGGGTGCAGACCTACTCCACTCATCAGCCATGCTGTGGAGGCGTCCCACATACAAAGTAAAGGAAGATCGGCACACATGTCAGCTCAGGGCTAATCTTCCTCAAGCAAAAGAAAAAAAAAAGAGGAGGATTGGCAACAGACGTTAGCTTAGGGTGAACTTTCTCACACACACAAAAAAATCCTTTTGTGAATACACCCTCCTCAAATTATCCTTATTTGAGGGTGCCATCTGCTTTCCTTTTGTGAATCTAACTAATAAAGTAACTAAGAATAGTTTTCCTGAAACCCCAAATTCAGAAGCAGGATTCCCTCTGGGGGATGGAGAGATATGTCCTATGATCAAGGAAAGGTACATAAAGATCTTTCATTGTTAATGTTTTACGTCGTAAGCTCAGTGCTGGTACACGGGTGTTCACTCTATTATTTTTTATATCTTTTAAATATTGCTTAAGAATTTAATAAAAATATTTTTTATAATAATTTTTTTCATAATAATTTTAATAATTTTTCATAATAATTTTTTTCATAATAATTTTTTTCTTCATAATAGTTAGCTTATTTAATAGTGAAACACAAATGGCTTTCTTAATAAAATCAGGAACACGCAAAGAATGCCCTTATTATTTAACTATGTTCTTGAAAATGCAGTGGTATAACAAAGATACATATTATTACTATTTCCAGGTTATATGATTGCTAGAAAACAGTGTCACGAAATGGAAAGAATGCTGATTTCGGAAACATCTGGATAGCAGTCCTGACTCTACTGCTTATTAGCAGTATCCTGAGCTTCGCTTTCCTGATCTGTAAAATAGGATTAAGATACCTATACTTCATAGAGTTGCTGTGGGATTAAACGAGATGATAGATCCTAAAGTGTCTAGCACTATGTCTGGTACAGAGAAGGCATTTAATAAATAAGAGCATTATTATGATAGCTGTTTTACCTTCAAAGAATGAGTAGAGTTAAAAAGAAAGCTTGATATTAGACAAACAAACCTATAGATTAGCAAATACTAGTTAGAAAGTACAACGGTATTATGGAAGACTCTCAGAAAACTTCTGCACTGGTACCCACTCTTAAGGATTTTTCTTCTTCAGAATTTCTCTCTCAAGAAAAGCAGAAACAAGAAAGAATCTGCATCTCTTAACTATTGTTCCAAAGCGAGTACTATAAAGGTCTCTACACCCCTTGTACAAAAATAAATTGCACATATGCAAAAGAAGAATGTAACATCTGCAAAATCCCTGCCTCTGTAAAGTAGTGAGAATGTGGTATCCTTCTTTTGACCTCAGAATCTGAAATAGGTCATTTGGGTTATAACAATATTTATCCAGAAGAACAAACAAATGGAATTCCTTACAATCTTTTGATAAGGAAGAATAAAGAGAAAGAATTAGAACAAAAACATATTAGAAAACTATGATAATTAAATCATTGGTTATTGGCATAAGGACAGTCAAGAAGAGGGTCCTAATTAAATAACTGTTTACTATATTCCAAAGGAAGGACCATAAATCGATGGGAAAGGAAAGGCTATCTAACAAATGGTGCTGTGGCAATTGGTTAGCTAAGTATTCTAATTGGTTAAAAACACAAGGAAAAGCAACCAAGTCATCAAGAAGTATGATACAATAGAATATCAAAGGGAGGATTCTGAAGTCCAACAGCAATGGAAACAATTCCAATGGAAAATTTGCATGGATACAAATGTAAAATGAAAGAGTTCTAACATCAAATTGGAAAACTGGCAAACACATTTGGAAAATATTAGCATCACATTTGAGAGACAAACACAATTTAAAATAATGAGATGCTATTTTTTGCCTCAAACGAGAAAAGTCTGATCTAAGACTAAGAATGCCCTGAGCTGGTAAGGTATGAGGGAAAAAAGTCAGGCTTTTATACTAAGAGGCAAGAGAAAAATTGGTCCATTCCAAATAACGGATGGTAATGCAATACATATTAAAGAGTGGATGAATGGATTATGGACTCATTCATTCATTTAGGATCTCAAGTGAAGAGGACTGTGTTAGTCATAATTTTCAGTTCATGATACATTATATTTGGTGCAGGCAAAGCTCCTCATGCATTCATTCATT